GTACCCTACGATCCAAGCCTTTCTAGATATGGGGGACCTAGCCAGATGATGGAACGAGTGGAAAGTCATCCCAAACTTGAACCCACCCTCATCATGCTCGAGGGTTTCGGTAGCTCCCCCTTCGGCCATCCGCCTCTCCACTTCGGCCTGGTCACACTCGCCCAGCGGTAGAATAGGCCTTCCCTTGACATCATTTTTTGAGAACAGGTAGTCAGCCTAGTTCTTATGGCTGATCCTCGGAGCCCTCTTCTTCTTGCCTTTATGGTCCACCACCCCTAGGGTGTTGAGGCATATATGGTAGTGGTCGAGCAGCTCCCATAGAGTATCCACCATCAGAGGGAACCGGGTCAAAAGGTGGTTATTCTCTTCTTGACCCGATATGTACTCTTCATAGGGAAAACTCCCCAAAGGTAGCCCGGACACGTCGTACATCTCATGGAGAGTTATGCTAAGCTACCGTTAGGGGTGAAGAATGTACCACCGTCCGGACAATAAAGTTTAAGAATACTGTAGAACCGAGGAACGTTGATCTTCAGACCATGTTGAGTGGCCCGAATAGCCAAATACAGCTCTGAACTCGCAAGGTCGGAATTCTCATCCAAGATGTACTCGGTGATCTTAGACCACCAGGTGCTGCTACCAGGCGCCGAGTAAATCCACCATGGAGCCCTAAAATCCTTCGGAGGAAACTGTCCCCCGGCCCAAAAGAAATAGTGATGGAAGGTCTTCACCACCGGAGTCGTCTCCCCGACGGGCAACTCATTGTATAGCAGGCCGGGACGCAGAGCGGTCACACGCTTGCAGGAACTATCCACCCCGTACCCAGCCATCGAACCCGTGAAGACACCGTAGGTCACCCAATCTTGGGTTGGAGTCAGATCCCAATCCATCATTCTCGGAACCACAAGCGACCGCAACTCGACGATTGAAAACCCCCTCGGTATGCTGGGAAGGTAGTAATGGACTCCACCGACAACACGGAGCCACCTGCTCTCCCCAAGCAACAGAGCTGAAGGGTCAATGGTGGTGTCACCAAATAAGAACTGAGGCTTTTTCAGCTCTGCCCTAGCCTCGTCCGTCAACACTGCGTCCGTAGTCAACTCACGCAACGTCAAGTGGTGCCCGTTGGTTACTCTCTTGATCAATTCATCCGGCTGGTCGGCAGCGAACACGGACACATGATCAAGGAAAGGGAATCGGGAAGACACCGTATTGCCCGTACCTCCAGCAAGACCAATGGCTACGCCATTCGTGAGGGCCTCGTCAGAAAAAGTGGCTACAAGGCAAAGCCGAAGAGTTAGAACAGAATCCACTCTCAGAGTCAGAAACTCTCTCAAGTCCCCCAAACAGGCGAATCTCATCCGGCAAAACTAATTTTTCCTGATAAGTGTTGAATTCGCCTGACAAGGGGCAAATCCACTTGACAAAAATGGAACTCGCCTGTCAAGGTAGGATTCACCTTCACCCGATGAAAGCTGATTTCGCCTGTCAAAGTAGAAGTCGCCTTCACCTAATCAAGGCTAAATCCGCCTGAAAAAAGGCCAGTTTCACCTAAATCAGGAAAGTTGCCAAAAATGGCAAAATCTGCTAAAGAAGATGAGCAGTGCTCATCTTCCCGACACAGCATCGGTCGTTAACACAAAGTCGTTGAACAAACCATGAGACTTACCCAAATATGTCCCAGGAACGCTGGTGGCCATACCGGTAGTGACGCCACCAGAATAGCGACCGGGACCCTTTCCCTTCGGAACGCATTTCTTAGACTTTGGCGCCATATTTGAAAAGTCGGAAATGAAGGAGTTCTTTCTCTCTAAAAACTTCGAGCAAGCAGAAATTCCTGAGCACAGTAGTCCTAAAAGGAAGAAGATGAAGCCTATTTAAAGGCGAGACGCTTGCGGTTGAGGGGCGTGGCCACGATCGAAATCAACGGCCCAGATTGCTCTCAAGAGACGAGACGTTGGCGGTTGAGAGACGTGGCCACGATCGAAATTGACGGCCCAGATCACTCTCAACAGTTCGGTTTTTGGCGGTTACAGAGGAACCGTCGAAACAGAGAACGGGTCGGGCAAGTCGAATCCCAGAACCCGAACCAAAATCCATGATTGAGTCTAACGGCCAGATTCAGAAACTACGATCATGATTTGTCATTGAGCGAGGCGCACGGAAATGATGCCGCTTTGTCGAATCGCATTTAATGAGACCTGACGAGCCCACAAAGCCTTAGCTGGAAAGCACGGCGTTTCGCCGACAAACATGTGGCTCGCCTTCCGCCAATTCAAACTTCGCCTGTGAGGACGAATTTCACCTGCGAACACGTGGCTCGTTCTCCACCATTTCAAATCTCGCCTGCGAAAGAGAAATTTGCCTGCGAACATCTAGCTCGCCTCGCCAGTGAGAACGAGTCTCGCCTGAGCCGCTTGTTCATTTGGCCTAGTTTGCCCGTAAAGGCAAATCTCAAGTAGCCCAGCTCATCAGAAGTGTTGAGCTGTCAACTCGCATGAATGGGACGGTCTCACCTGCGCAGTCAGACCTACCAAGCGATACAACCCATTGACACACCCTTCGGGCACACCCACAGGATTAGAGAAGAAGTCTTAGCATTAAGCCTAAGAGAAACTACTCGACAACTCATCATACTGAGGGGAATAGTATGGCTAGCCCGATTCAAATGGTAATCGGTAAAGCCAAGTCAAACCCGTTGATTGCTAAGGGTTTGTTAAAAATCCTAAGAGAAACCTCTCGACAACTCATCATACTGAGGGGAATAGTATGACTAGCCCGATTCAAACGACAATTGGTAAAGGCATACCAAACCAGTTGAAAGCTGGAGATTTGCCAAAAATCTCAAGAATCAATCACGAAGGAGGAAATATACACATAAAATATGAAAAAAGCGACAAATAGAGAAAGAAAACATAATTCCATTCATAGCTAATTTAACAATACATTTAAAAGTTATAATGTTACATTCAAAACGAAGTCATGATAAAATAAGAAAATGCCCTAAAATATCGACCGACTCGGTCAAACCTATGCCAGCTCAATAAAGGAGGCGTGTTCAGCTTCAGCGGCGGCTATCCTCCTTGCCCGATCCGCTCGGACCTGATCCTCCGCCTCCCTTCGGATCTTGGTCTCAAAAGACACAGCAAAGACAGAATTCTCTTGATGAAGCGTCTGAAGGGCTTGCATTTCCCTTTCAACTGCTCCGTGAATGCTCGCACTTTCTAGTTGCAGACTTTTCAGAGCCGCCTCTTCTTCCATGAGCTGAGCCTTCATTCTAGCGATGGTAGAGACGGAGGCATCAATCTTTGCCTCCAGTAGATGCTGCCGGGTGAGCAGATCCGCGACGAGAGCCTCCTTGCCTGATAGGTCCCTCTCCCGAATCTCCTGCTCGCTCTGAAAAAAATTCTTAGTAGATATTACTATCTCCAAATCACTCCCGATGATGAGCATATCATCCACATAAAGGGATATAACCACCACCTTTTTTCTGCGACCTTGATATATAGGCACTTGTCAGATTCACTGACTTGATACCTGTTTTCGTGAACAACCCCATCGAACTTCAAATGATAGAGTTTCGATGCCTGCTTAAGTCCATATAGAGACTTAATAAGTTTACAAACATTACCGGCTATAGCGTCAAGTCCTCCTGGTTTTTTCATGTAGATCTCCTCTATGAGATCTCCATTGAGAAAGTCAGTTTTCACTTCCATGTGATGTATGACAACTTTTTTATCGTCGCCCATGCGATAAGCACTCTAATGGTAGTAATCCTGCAAACTAGTGCATAAATATCAAAAAAATCTATTCATTCTCTCTGAGAGGATCCTTTTAACACCAGTCTTGCTTTGTATTTCTCAATAGTACTATCAGGATAAAGATTCTTCTTAAAGATTCACTTGCAACTGATAGGTTTTGTACCTTCAGGTACATCCACCGGCTTCCAAGTGTGATTTTTGATCAATGAATCCATCTCATCATCTATAGCTTTTTTCCACAGAAAGACGTCTGTTGCCTACATTGCTTCTTGGAAAGTTTGTGGATCTCCTTTCACATTATAGGTGATGAAGTATATATATTTAATTCAAAATTTTAGTTAGAAAATAGATTTAAGATTATTTAAGTTTTAAAATCAGTATATAAAAGTTAAGTAGAAATATAAGTGAATTAAAAATAAGACATCATATGTGCAATATTACAAATAATAAGCTGTGATTAAATTTTTAACAAATATTTAATAGACAAACGAATCGAATATACATCTGGTTAAATTCTATTCGTTAGTAAACTCGAATACTAAAAAATATTTCTTTAGTAATAAATAAACTACCGATCAAATATAACCGAATAGTTATTCGAACAATTATCGAACTATTTGTTAATTATTTGGTTCATTTCCATCCCTAGAGGCAACTAGTAGAGCGGACCCCAAAACTATATCTCTTACTAGCACATTTACCAAAGTGAGATGGCATCTCACATCTAGTATACCCCGTGTATATCTAAGCTATTATTGGCAGTATCCAAGATGTGTACACTGTATATTCAAATCTCAAATTTGGATTTCTATCTAAAAGTCAGTACCATTGTATGTGATCTACTACAGATTGACTATTTAAAAATAAGATCTTAAATGATTTCAAACTATATATTCGACTTTCAAATTCGGATTTCTAGACTAAAAGCCAGTACTGTTGGATGTGATCTACTACAGATCGATTATTTAAAAATAAGATCTCAAATTATTTCAATGTGTTTTAACCATGTATATTATGTTGTCAAAATTAACGTTTTAGAATTTTTCAAACAATTTATTGCCTCTTTATAAATGACTAATGCATCTACATTGAACATGCTGTTTCTGATAATCCATGGGTATGACATCACATCTACAATACAACTTTGTACTTTTGAAACACCAAATTTCAAATTTGGATTTATAATATTCACATCTTCAATACCATCATAAGTTGCTTAGCTGAACTATTTAATACACACACAACATAATACATTTGTTTATCTTTTGCAGGTCAAGAATGCTACCTCGTCCTGTTTGGATGGCAGTCACACAAATTGTCATGGTTGTAATTTACTTTCTCTTTGCTTCTGGTCTCAACGGCACACTTTATGCTTCAACTGCATTACTTGGCATCTGCTACGGTGTCCAATTCTCCGTGATGGTTCCAACTGCATCTGAACTATTCGGGCTGAAGCATTTTGGACCTATTTATAATTTCATGTTGTTAGGTAATCCCCTTGGAGCACTTCTATTTTCAGGTTTTTTGGCAGGATATGTGTATGATAATGAAGTAGAAAGGCAGCATGGTAATTTTGTGAACAGTTTGAGAAATACTTGCTTGGGGCCTAATTGCTTTAGACTCACATTTGTGGTTTTATCGGGGGTTTGTGTGCTGGGAACGGTGCTGAGCACAGTGTTGACGATGAGAATAAAGCCTGTGTATCAAATGCTATATGCTGGTGGTTCATTAAGGCAACCTCGCAGTTCAAATCTTCGAGAGCGGCATTCTGCTGGAATTTAGGAGTCTTATTATTGCGAGTGGTTTGCAAAATTTCGTTTAATTATATAAGTTTAAGAAGCCATAAAGAGTTATGATCCCTATGGAAGGGGGTTTTCTAATCTCGGACTACTCTGGAATTGACTTCTAGAGAGAGCTTACACTGGAATCTAAAGTAAAGCATTTGGAAGTGTTTTGTTGTCTCCGTCGCCTTCTTCTTTACTATATCAGTAAGATTTAAATTACGTTTGTTTGTAGGAAAAAAGATACTGGAGCATCGATGTTGTATCATCTTACCCTAATTTCTGTATGAATTTACGTCTACCTGTTTCTTACTTTGATTGGGAATTACTGTTGCCTGCGACGTATTCTGCAAAAGAAAACTTATTTCATCTGTAACGTTTTGTTTCTAGTTCTACATTTACGTTAATTGTGAACAGATCCTCTGAACTGTTGCCCAATTGCAGATTAGACTTCTGTAGTTCTATTGTTGCAGATGAACCCTCCGTAGTATTGCCTAGTTGTGAATGGACCCCTTAAGTGAATTCTTTTTGACTCTTTTATCCTCAGGTGGTGTACTTGTTAAAAATAATAATTTTTTCTCCTTGAGGTTGAGTAGTAAAAAAGAGTTCACTCAGGGTCTATCTGCAACAATAAAACCACAGGTGGTCTATCCCCAATTGGACATGGGTTTACCCGCAGTTGACCGTTTAGCGTTTTGCACTGTGGAGTTTTGTACATATGGGAAGGAATTTCACTCTATTTTTTAACTATTTTTTCCTTCCGATAGTTACTTTCTTTTCCAAGAGTGCAGAATCAGTTCATAGCCTGAAGTATGCCGTTGCACTTCTTTCTGCACCTAAGTCATTTTTTATTGATTGCACATGTTAAGTGTAAGTAAAGGACAAAAAATCAGAAGGGAAAAAGATACAAATTTATACCTGTTCTGATGTCTTATCTCTGTAACAGATTCAATTGTCTCCTGCTCAGCATTATTAATGGTTTGGGTGTTTTGCATTTGTTTTCTGAAACATGATTATTTTAGTTTCTTATACTTGCTATACGCTCTTGCTTCAGATCAAAGCGATTGGTACTTAAGCAGGGATGTTTCTATCTTCAACTACTATTTAGTTAACATTCAAGTGTTTCTTTTGGGAGAATTTGTTATGCATCACTGTCCTGCTTTGGCCTACATGTTTTTAGAAATGGCCAGTTGTAGTGTTGTTTGGTAGATTGGTGCAAGCTTGAAGGAATAACAGTGATGCATTTTTTAATTAGTGAGCACCAACAATTCATTGAAACTTTTATCGAAAGTAGGATAATTAACTTATTAAACAGCTGCATGAGTTTTAGCACCCAGAATTATGGCGGAGGTTCAATGACAGTACCTTATTACTATACTTTTCTTTATGATTGTAACTAACCCCACTTGAGTATATATCATTGAGGACTGAGAAGTTAGTAGATGATGGATACTGATGAAGGTTGTAAGTGACTGAAACACTAGCTAGGCCAGCTGCCTGTGATAATAGAATGCATCTAGCGGCTCATCAGATCGTTAATTAGTGCATCAAATACTGTTTACTTTGGGATGAATGCGAAAGGTGGAAGCTTTGTTGCAGATGAAATGTATTTTGGCTCGTTTCCCGGCCCTTAGAGAAAGGGAAAATCATTTTTTTCGCCGAATAGACCTCCAGAGGGTAAAAGTGTTGGAATATCAAATTAAAATGCTAGAATAAATGAGTTTTAGAAGTGCAAGGGTCATAAGTTTAGAAGGTGAAGAGACATAGGTTATGGAAGAATAAGAGTAACTTACTCATTTATGACATTTATCTTTATGGCATTAAAATAGGAGTTTAATTTGTGACTATTGGTATGCCTAAACGTTTTTTTTTTGAAGCCTATATAAAGGGCTATTGTAATCCTTGTTTGATATGAAGAGAGAAAATTGAAGAAATATAAGTGAGTTCTTCATTTGAAAAAGTTCTAAGTTCGTAAACTTAAGAGTCATCAGTGGTATCAGAGCCACTTGATCCAATTTTCCCATTCTCTCTTCTTCTCATGGCTACCACAAATAATCTTGTCAATCCTCAAGTGCCCAAATTATTGAAAGATAACTATGAGAGTTGGTCAATCCAAATGAGAGCCTTATTTGGTTCTCAAGAGTTGTGGGAGCTGATCATTGATGGGTTCACGGAACCTACCCCAGAAGTAGAAGCCACCTATACCGCCGAAGAGAAGAAGGCTCTCAGAGAACAAAGAAAGAAGGATAGCAAGGCTCGTTTTCTACTCTATCAAGGGTTGGACAAGTCTACCTTTGAGAGAGTTGCCGAAGCAACGATAAGCAAGGAAGCATGGGAAATCCTTGCGACCATCTACAAAGGTGTCGAGCGGGTGAAGCGAATTCGCCTTTGCGACCATCTACAAAGGTGTCGAGCGGGTGAAGCGAATTCGCCTCCAAACTTTGAGGGGCGATCTTGGAGCCGCTCAAATGAAAGATGAAGAACAAATCTCCGATTATTATTCACGATTACTTCTAATTGTGAATAAAATAAGGAGAAATGGAGAGAAGATGGAGGACATCCGAGTGATGGAGAAGTTGCTCCGATCCCTCACATCAAAATTCAAGCACGTGGTGGCGGCAATTGAGGAGTCAAAGAATTTGGAGGATATCTCAATAGAGGAGCTCTTGGGATCCCTCCAAGTTCATGAACAACGAATGCAAAAGAAGACTAGTTCCATAGTTTTGGAGCAAGTACTAGAGTCAACATTGACTCTAAGTAATCAAGGCTCACAAGGAAGAGGTCGTGGTCATAGTCGTGGTAGAGGCAGGGGACGTGGTCCCCAACAGCAAACCACTCAAAATCAAGCGGAGATCCAAAGCTTTAGAGGACGAGGACGAAGCAATCGTGGAAGATACACACCTGGCCGTGGAAGCAACAAGAATGTTCAGTGCTATAACTGTCATAAGTTTGGGCACTATGCTTCAAATTGTTGGCACAAAACTGAAGACCAAACCAATCTTGCCGAAGCAACAAATGATGTGGGTAACAACTCTACGCTTCTTCTTGCTAATGATGATTCAAGTGTTGAGAATGATGCTTGGTACCTTGACTCGGGTGCTAGCAACCACATGTGCGGGAAGAAAGAACTTTTCATGGAACTCGCAGAAGGAGTTCATGGAAGTGTGAGCCTCGAAGATTCTTCAAAACTCCCGATTGAAGGCAAAGGGAAGATTAAAATCTACCAAAAGGGTGGTAAGCCCGAGTATATTTCTGATGTTTACTATATTCCTAACATGAAAAGTAATATTCTTAGCATCGGTCAATTACTCGGAAAGGGATACAAAGTATATATGGAGAACAACCATCTTTGGTTGAAAAATACAAATGGAGGCCTCATAGCTTGTGTTAAGATGACAAGGAACCGCATGTTTCCCTTGCATCTAAACACGAAAGTCGACAAGTGTTTTCAAGGACTCATGGAGAATGAGTCATGGAGGTGGCATCTTCGCTTCGGCCATCTAAACTTCAGCGGTTTGAAGTTATTGTCTACAGCTGGCATGGTACGAGGTCTACCAACAATTGATCCACCGAATCATATTTGTGAAGGTTGTGTAATCGGCAAGCAACCGCGACTTCCTTTTCCCAGTGGAAAATCATGGAGAGCAAGTGTACCATTGCAACTTGTTCACACCGACATCTGCGGACCGATCGATCCCGTCTCTTTGGGAGGTAATAGATATTTTATAACTTTCATTGATGACTTCAGTAGAAAGTTGTGGGTGTACACTCTTAAAGAAAAATCTGCTGCCTTTACTACATTCAAACATTTTAAAGCTTTAGTTGAAGCAGAGAGCGGCCACAAGCTAAAAATTCTTCGATCTGACCGAGGTGGTGAGTACACCTCAAATCTGTTTCAAGAATATTGCAGGGAGCAAGGTATAAAGAGACAGTTTACTACTGCCTACACACCACAGCAAAATGGCATTGCAGAAAGAAAGAACCGGACCATCCTCGACATGACAAGAACCATGCTCAAAGAAAAGGGATTGCCAAAGCAGTTCTGGGCAGAAGCCGTGGCATGCTCAGCTTATTTGCTCAACCGATGCCCCACAAAGATAGTGAAGAACAAGACACCTCAAGAGGCATGGAGCGGTTACACGCCTAGTGTGGCACACCTGCGAATTTTTGGTTGTGTTGCATATGCTCAAGTACCTGAAGTCAAATGAAAGAAGCTTGACAATCGCGGTGAAAAATGCATTTTCATCGGATATAAGGAGGAGTCAAAGGCATACAAGCTCTACAATCGGATATAAGAGGTTCTCCATCTTCTGGGGAAAGTAGTAGCAGCGAATCTACCATGCAACGAGGTCCCATCAAAATGAGAAGCCTCAGGGAGATCTATGAGCAGATAGAAGAAGACGAAGAGTCAAATCTTTTCTGCTTATATGCTGATCATGAACCTCTCACTTTTCAAGAAGCCGTAAAAGAAGATAGTTGGCGAACAGCAATGGAGGAGGAGATCCACGCCATCCAAAAGAATAACACTTGGGAGTTGACAACTCTTCCACAAAATCACAAGGCAATAGGGGTCAAGTGGGTGTACAAGATCAAGCGCACAGCAAATAGTGAAGTTGATCGGTACAAGGCAAGGCTTGTAGCGAAAGGTTACAAACAAAAGTACGACATCGACTATGAAGAAGTCTTTGCTCCGGTTGCTCGACTGGATACGGTGAGACTATTAATTTCACTTGCAGCTCATCACAGGTGGAATATATATCATTTGGATGTCAAGTCAGCATTCCTCAATGGCGTTCTTGAGGAAGAGGTGTACGTGCAACAACCAGAAGGCTTTCTTATAAAAGGGCAAGAAGACAAAGTGTACCATTTGAAGAAAGCACTGTATGGCTTAAAGCAGGCACCACGGGCGTGGAACGCCCGAATTGATGGCTATCTTCATCAAAACGGCTTCATTAAATGTCCCTATGAACACGCCATCTACATGAAGAGGAACCATAGAGGCGAATTTCTAATAATTTGTCTTTATGTTGATGATTTATTGTACACAGGAAGCAGTACCGAGATGCTTGCTGAATTCAAGGCGGCAATGTTCAATGAATTTGAGATGACGGACAATGGATTAATGTCCTATTTTCTTGGCATTGAAGTGAAGCAGCAACAAGAGGGGATTTTAATATCCCAGAAGAAGTACATGAAGGAGATCTTAGAGAAGTTCAAGATGAATGAATGCAACCCTGTAAACACCCCAGTAGCCATCAGAATGAAGCTATCAAGAGAAGGAGACGGACGTTTCGTGGATTCAACTTTTTTCTAAAGTCTAGTTGGCAGCCTGAGATACTTGACGATCACAAGGCCCGATATTACTTATGGAGTTGGACTTGTGAGTCGCTATATGGAGACACCGAATGAATCTCACTGGCTAGCTGCGAAGAGGATACTAAGGTATATCAAAGGCACACTCAACCTGGGTCTCTTCTATGCATATGATGAAAATGCACAACTAGTTGGTTACTCAGATAGTGACTGGGGAGGTGATCAAGATGAGAGAAAAAACACCACAGACTATGTCTTCTATCTTGGGTCAATTGCATTTTCATGGACCTTAAAGAAGAAAGGAGTTGTAGCTTTATCTTCATGTGAAGCAAAATATGTGGCGACTGCATCTACAGTATGTGAAGCAATTTGGTTGCGAAACATATTAAAGGAGTTGGATCATCCACAAGAAGACTCGACCGTAATTTTTGTGGACAACAAATCAGCCATCCAGCTTGCAAAGAACCCAGTACATCATGGAAGGAGCAAACACATAGATACACGGTTTCATTTTCTCAGAGACCATGTAAAGCAGAAAACCGTTGAACTGAAGCATTGTTACACCACTGAACAAGTGGCAAACATATTCACCAAGCCATTATCAGGTGAAACTTTCATGAGGCTAAGAGACATGCTTGGCATAAAGACATTTTGATTTGAAGGGGCGTGTTGGAATATCAAATTAAAATGCTAGAATAAATGAGTTTTAGAAGTGCAAGGGTCATAAGTTTAGAAGGTGAAGAGACATAGGTTATGGAAGAATAAGAGTAACTTACTCATTTATGACATTTATCTTTATGGCATTAAAATAGGAGTTTAATTTGTGACTATTGGTATGCCTAGACGTTTTTTTTTTAAGCCTATATAAAGGGCTATTGTAATCCTTGTTTGATATGAAGAGAGAAAATTGAAGAAATATAAGTGAGTTCTTCATTTGAAAAAGTTCTAAGTTCGTAAACTTAAGAGTCATCAAAAAGATCAAAACATTTTCATTCAAAAGTGGTAGTCTGCAACAATAGAACTGCGGGGGGTTTATCCGCAATTGGGGGATAGTACAGGGCATGTATCCACAATAGTTCACAGTGATCCAACTATTTTTCTCCCTTTGGTGCACGAAATATGCTGTGGACGTGGTTAACCTGGTTGACTTTGTTTTAGAGGATGGTATGTATACAAGTCATCTAGCTATGTATCTACCACAACAACTAGAATGCATTTCACAAATTAATTATCATCATACGCGATCACCTAACCGATCATCAGTCCCATTTACATGATGCAACCTTTAACAAAATTCTACTTTAGTTTTTACAATCACATCCCCCAACACAGTAATGTAACAGTAATAAGCATAACAAGCAAAAGCAAACTGCACTGTCTCAAACTTACCCCCAAATAAACCATCCATGTGCACACACTCCCCTCGCTGACTAGTGTTCGGTTCCCATCAAGTGGGCTTCAAATCTTGAAACATTGAGTCCCATCTTATTTCCTCTCCATCTCCACCTCCATCTCCACCTCCCTTACCGCCGACCGCCACCATCGGGCTTGCTGGATTTGTGCCCGGCTTTCCGTCAGTGATCAACAGCCTATCCTAGACGTTTTTTTTTTAAGCCTATATAAAGGGCTATTGTAATCCTTGTTTGATATGAAGAGAGAAAATTGAAGAAATATAAGTGAGTTCTTCATTTGAAAAAGTTCTAAGTTCGTAAACTTAAGAGTCATCAAAAAGATCAAAACATTTTCATTCAAAAGTGGTAGTCTGCAACAATAGAACTGCGGGGGGTTTATCCGCAATTGGGGGATAGTACAGGGCATGTATCCACAATAGTTCACAGTGATCCAACTATTTTTCTCCCTTTGGTGCACGAAATATGCTGTGGACGTGGTTAACCTGGTTGACTTTGTTTTAGAGGATGGTATGTATACAAGTCATCTAGCTATGTATCTACCACAACAACTAGAATGCATTTCACAAATTAATTATCATCATACGCGATCACCTAACCGATCATCAGTCCCATTTACATGATGCAACCTTTAACAAAATTCTACTTTAGTTTTTACAATCACATCCCCCAACACAGTAATGTAACAGTAATAAGCATAACAAGCAAAAGCAAACTGCACTGTCTCAAACTTACCCCCAAATAAACCATCCATGTGCACACACTCCCCTCGCTGACTAGTGTTCGGTTCCCATCAAGTGGGCTTCAAATCTTGAAACATTGAGTCCCATCTTATTTCCTCTCCATCTCCACCTCCATCTCCACCTCCCTTACCGCCGACCGCCACCATCGGGCTTGCTGGATTTGTGCCCGGCTTTCCGTCAGTGATCAACAGCCTATCTTTCTTCAGCATCACCACCCTCATGTTCCTCTTGAGCATGCCCCCCTTCCACCGTCCGCCGCCGTCAGAACTTGAGGATGGCGGCGTCTTCGGCACGATGACGATCGCCGACCGGTCCCGACTGACGATCTTCGTATTGAAGTACCTGACAAGACACTTCTTGGTCCTGTTGACCGCAGACAGAAGTCTGACGACCGACTGATGAGGGAGTTTTCTGTTGAACTTTTTGGACAGCTTGAGGATCTCGAGCCTGTGCTTGGCAATTGAGATGCCCATGCTTTGGAGGAACTCATGGTTGAAGTAGACAATGTCCTCCTCTTCAAGCTCATTGTGAGAGAAGAGGAGGGAGTAGTCATAAACAAGGGACGGCTCAAGGCCCGATTGTGATAGCCAAGAGTACCAGTCCATTATTTGGGTGTTATAGCTTGTTTTTTGGGGAATTGGAGCTAAGGTCACAATGTTGGTTTGTGGTGGTGGTGGTGGTTATAAAAGGAGAAAGACAAAGGGTGTTTTGGTGATTAGATTTGGATCCGGCCGAAAAGCTGATGGAGAGTTTACATTTTAGATCACATAGTTTATTATTGAGTGGATGATTGTAATTTATCTTCAATATGACATTTATATATTATTATAATCAATAACCGAATTTTTAATAATATTTATTCATTACAGTCAATAAACAAATAGTAGATGATTGCTACTGAAAGTGAGCTCGTTATAACTTTCTAAATGGTTATGATTACGTTTTATATCAAACATTTATCATATTCATCATGACTTGTATTCATGTCAATTTTTCATTGAAAACAAACAAAACCAGTAATAATAGTAGATGTTTGTGATCAAAATTGTGTCAATGCCCAAAAATGAAAAACATATGTGACTAAACCCTCACAACACCTTTCTCCCATGTGTAAAAGTCCCAAAAACCCAAAAAGACTGTGCCTCAACCCTTCCAACTCAACAGTATACATTATTGTTCCGGGTCTTTTTAAAATGCAATTGGTAGAGATTACAACAAAAGGAATGTAATGAAATAAAAAAAATTATATTTCCTGAAGTTCTTTTCTATGTGCCGGCAGAGTGTTAATCTTGTACTCCGTTGATGCACCAATTAAGACAATGAGTCTTTTGCTATTGATAAAAGTTTAGTGGCGTGGAAGATAGCTCAGTCTTATATTGTCACTTCTACTCAATAAAATCTCTCTATGTATGTGTTTATATCTGTAGATCTCCTTCGATTCTTATGATGATCCTTATGATGCCAAAAATGAATGATCTCCCCTATTTTTATAGGGTAAAAGAGTGAATTATTGGCTCCTTAATTATGGATTAAGTGACCATTTAAGTAGGAGAAATTGGGGGGCGGTTATCCCTTGAAAATAACCCTCAAACTGCTATTAGTCGAGGTTCGCTTGCTTGGCGAAGCTCGCTGAGGACACGTGGGCGAAGTTCGCTACAAAAGACAATGGCGAAGTTCGCTGCTGAAGGCGTTGGTGAATTTTGTTGCTTATATAATGGAGGCTGCCTGAAGTCGCTTGGGTGTGATTGTGATTCTCCGAAAGTATGGATGGATCCATCCACTTGGGTTGTTATGAGCGAAGTTTGTTGGGTGGTGAACTTCGCTTATGAGTTTGAATTTAGCACAAAATTCAAATTACAATTCGGCCGATAAATAATGCCTTTAGACTTGGTCTGGGACATGTTTTGGGAGTCGACTTGCTTTTAACTTAGTCGAGTTGTGATGAGATGGACTGTTTAATGAGTTTCGCTTGCTCGGTTGGATGACCTTCGCTACAGTTTATTGCAGGCTCAGTTTTATCCCCCTTCGAAGTGGTTAGCCTATTGGTGTTCACTTCTTGGATTCAAGCTAAATATTGGCCTAGGTGAAAATACATTTTAACCAAGTTTTCAAGATCCTGTATTTGACTTGTAGCTGGGATTAAAATACTTTTGGTAATAGCCAAAGGTGTACTGTTGAACGTAGCTCGAGTTTGTCTTGGTTGGGTTGAAACGTATCTTCACTTTTCTACTTGGTTACCAGGGTGTACTTTGAACGTAACTTCATTAGAGGCCTAATATAATTGTACTTGTCCAATTTCGTGTTCAAAATAAACTTGCGAAGTTTGACTGATCTTAGGTATGAGAGATGTTCGCTCAACTTTGAGCAGAGTTGGCGGGGTTCGTCGATTGGCGAGACTTAGCTTATTTTGAGTCATGTCTGGTGAAGTTCGTCGATTACCGACGCTCGTTAACTGGTGATATTTGTTGAGATTTGTCTTTGGATTTTCACCATGATCTATAGCTAAGATCTCCTAATTAAAGATTTCACGAGATCCGCTGCGGATTTGACTGAGTTGCTAAGATTTAGCCTCTTTGTCCGGTCCAATCAAATTTCAAAAGATGTGATTTTTCTTGAGAGTTATGATTTGAAAGATGCTATAAATAGTAGTATTCTTCTTTCATTCTCACTCTCTTCATCTTTATCTTCTTCTTCTTCCTTATGTTTAACTCTCCATCGCTTAGAACGGAGATGCGCCTCGATAGAAGAGCTGAAATAAAACAGCTCCAATAGGAGCTTGCCTAAGTAAAGGGCAATCAAGTGGATGAACTCCACATACTTTGTTGTCGGCTGAGAAGATGAAACTCGAAGAGATCATCGAGAATCAGTCGATCGCCTAGGGCAAGTTGAATCACGATGGAGATGTTTGGAGCTTCGAGTACCATGGTCTTTACATGACCGTTCAGCGACTGAAGTGGTTCTTGAAGAAGGATTCTTGGATCTCCACGAGCAAAGACTTCGAGTACCATGGTCTTTGCCTTCTTCTTCTCCACTTTGATGTCAAAGCTCTCAAACTTCTTTCCAAGCCCTAGGTTTCATAGAGTCCTCAAATCTCATCATGAATTGCTCCTCATCGTGCTATCTCCATAGGAAAAGGCTCCTCCCGGGGAGTTCGTCGGCCAAGAGTTGAAGATGCATTGGCGCAGTTATACATAGCTGTGGATAAGCTTCGAATCCAGTAATTACAATCTTCTGATCAGCCTAATCTTAGCCCATCGGGCTTTTAACAGTGCCTCAAGGCACATAAAGACTTGATCCGCTACTAAAGGCGAGATCTTTACGATTACTCATGGTCTTTTCTGATGAGCTTCTGCCATTAGCGGTGAATTTTCATTAGCGTCCATTAATGGTGCTCGATATAGCGAGCTTCACTCTCTCCGGCGAAGCTCATTATTGTTAGCTATTTTGTCTTATGTAGCAGATTTCATTTTTGCGAAGATCATTATTCTGATTTGAGTGACCCTCACCTGGGTGACGTTCGTCAGTGCAATTTGGATAGCCTTCGTCAAGTCTCCTTCATGTTTTTGTAGCACCTTGTTGTGCCCAGCTTCATGTGCTATAATCTCACTAATAGGGAAGATAGCATTAAAGTGGGCTCCTTAAAGCATGTGTGGTTTTTGTCATGGTGGGCTTTATAGAGTCAACATCATAGGCTTGCCTCCAAGTTTTGTAAATGAGGAAGCTCCCTTTAATGAAGTGGTCATTGTCGCAAATACCTTCGGGAATGAGCTTGCTATGACTGAAACATAATATCTTGATGGGGACACCAGGTTCCTGGTTGAATTAAGTCAACAGATACCTAATGTTAAACTTGTTTGGTGGACTTCGGTCTTATCACCTTCTAGGATAAGTTACAAAGAATTAGGCTCTATGCTACGGTATGAGTTTCAAAGTATGGTGTCTAGATTTGTGCATCAATACTATATAGAATTCCGGAGCTGTACAATGCTGATAGCAATACCTTCTTCACTCTGGCGAGCGAGATCGGGATTGCTTTGCACGAGATGTTTGAGGTGTCTTGTTTTCCTATGGGGGATCGCCCATACGAAGAATTCTTTTCTACCTATGCTGAGTTGAAGACTTATTCATCTGTTGCTCATGTTGTGGAGGTGTTCTAGGAATTGGTTTGTCATTTCCTCATCTGCCAGAGGACCATTGCAAGCTCTGGACATGATTACTCCGTCATTCGCTTTCCTTGGGCTGAATACCATTTTTCCAATGTAACCAAAAAGGGAGATGTGGATTCGATCCATCCAGTTATAGATACTGAGATTGAGACTCGTATCTTTAATGCTTCCAAATACTTCACACTGTTGAGATAATGAGTGTGGGTCCCATGCAGGTGACCAATTTGAAAGTTTTTATCACCAAGCGAAAGAACCAAATATCTGAGTTGTTGTTGCTTGCAGGATTTTCTTGAATTGGCTGAAGGGTTACGTTGTGCCTTCTCGACTAAAAGATCGCATCTCCATCAAGGCGTTGTTTCCTACCATCTTGCTCTCTTCTAGGTTTAACCTCGCAATTCTACCAGCAATGGTTAGTTGTATCCATAGAGAATTAAGGGAACTGGCCACTAAATATCTAAGGTAGGAAAATTGTTGTCCGAAGAATGAGGTTCCCAACCCTAGAGCGTGAGCAGTATGAGAAGTATGAACCCAGGGGATGATCTCAAAGCAGTATGGCAGCGTGCATTTCACCTGTTTTCCTAGTGGGTGTTTTAACTTGTTAGTAAATATTTGACACGGTTATCTTGTCGCTAGGCTCAATAGGATAGAGTGTTATATTGAGCCCTACTTACCTTGTCGATTCACGCGTCAATTCGATTATAATAAGCTTTATATCGAGAATCTGAACCTAGGATTGTTGTGCATGGGGAGTTTGATAGAAGGAGCCCGTGCATAGCTAGATTCTCACTTCCCCACCACAAGCCTAATTATTACGTGACACTCGGATTTTGCAAGTGGTATAGTAACATGAGTACCCCACATTGTGACTGTAGGCATATAAAATTGCTTATAGGTCCCTTAGCTCAGCTCGGCACATACCGACAAACCAACGAGGCAACGAGATTGACTAATCGCACGCAAGCAACGGAATACGTCCATTCGCGTGCGGGATCAAGCTAAGTGTTCGAAGAGTCAACAAGTCATCCAACCAAGGGCATACTCAGACGAATCACGATCGAATCAAGATCGGTTTCAGACTCAAATTCAGAAGTGGATTTACTGCCTAATCAGGATCCGGATTTACTGCCAAATCAGGTCAACAAATCGAATCCGAACCTATCAACCGCAGAACCGGAAAAAAGGGCACAAAGAGGCAAAACGACAAACACCTGGAGGTCGGCTCACCGAGCCACCAAGGAGGCTCAGTGGCCGAGCCACCAAGTGGTGGCTCGGCCGAGCCACCTCCGAGCCCACCACAATGGCCCTCGGTGACCACCATGAAAAGAAATGAAAATTACAACTTTGTTTCCTTGTTTGTCGAACGAATCACGAGCTCCTGTTTTGCGGTCGCTCGCTTTGTGGGTTCTTTGCCTGCGCCGGGGTTGTTTGCCGTGGACCACCGCGCGATCTAGATCCGGTCGGATCTACGCAGTACAACGGGTATTATTTCACCAAGGAAATAATAGCCGGGGAGGATTGTTTCACCAAGGAAACAATCGTCCAAGTCTCGGGATCTAAGACCAAGCTTAGATCCGGAGTGTAGCAACGTAGATCTGAGATCCGATCCTCTCGAACACCTGCC